GCCTGCGGGGTACGCCTGAGTCCAGTCCCGCCGCCGGAGGGAGGGGAGTTGCATTGTGGGAAGGGCGCAGAGTGCGGATGGCGGCGGGAGCGGCTGGTCTCCGCGCAGCCCCTGGAGCCCCTTTTGGCGCCTGGAGCTGCGGGCAGCGATGCGGCGGTGTGTTGGTTCCGGGAACAGCACCGACACCGCCTCGGTTGGCGGGAAAGGGGCCGAGGCGGCCGGGGCAGCGGGGCGCGCGAGCGCCTCTGGAAAGTCTTTGTCTGTAACCCGCAGTGGGAGGGGCCTGCCGCTCCGGGAACCCGCGGCCGCAGACCCCGTCAGCCCCCGCGACGTCCGGGCTGCGGCGCTTTGTGGCGGGGACTGGGTGTGACCCGACGCGAGGCGATTGCTGAGCCTGAGCGCGCACCTGCCTGGGCGCGGAGAGGCCGCAGGTCCCTGGCCGGGCGCCCCACGTGACTCTGCCTCGCTGGCCGGGAGCGTTAGGGTTTCCCGAGCTCGGGCGCCGCAGATCCGGGGGGCAGGGTGGAGGGGACTGGACGACGGGGCCATTCCCCTTTTGCTTACTCTTTGTTTCAGCCCCTTCTAATTGGGCGCTTTCCTGGCCGGCGAGTTGTGTTTCTTTAAAATGGCGACAGGAAATCCCACCTGCGCATCAGCCAATTAGACTCCGCACAGCTCGAACCTGCAGGTGGAAACGCGAGGCCTTATTCACAGGAACGACTGTCTCCGCGCTTCATCAAAACAGGAAGGGCGAGGGGAGGCGGAATTCAGAAACCGCCTGGGTGCTTCGGGCGGGCGGACTGAGCAGCCACTGTCGTGGAGAGGTGGTTGCCCCCCCATCACCCGGAAAAACGGGAGGACAACCAAATTTCACAACCCTCCTGAGTGACCGAAATCCTCCTCCCGTTGAATGGCAGTAAATGCTCTTCTTCAGTGCAACAGTGGCTCCCTGAGAACCCTGTTAGGAGGAATGTTCTTGAATAAATCTGAGAAACTGAACAGTCAGTGCCAGCCGAAGGGGGCGAAATGATAAGCAGCCCGACTCAGACCTGCGATCCGATTGTTCCCGGAGGTACTGCTTCCCTCGCCCGCCTTTGTCCTAGCCGTCTTTCCCCACTTCGTTAAAAAAGAGGGTTAATAGTAGCCACATCATAGTAATATTCTACAGGTTACCAAAGAGTTGGTTCTTTCCTCCCGCTTCCTTCCTAGAAGCGGCTCCTTTAGTATAAATTAGTCATGTTAAGTAGTGTGCGTCGTGCCTGGCTGGCACCATAATTTTTATGAGAAAAGGTAAGAAGTCTGGATAGGCGAAGTAGGTAACCTCTGAGCACAGCTCAAGCCTGTTGAAATGTTTCCCTTATTAGGCAGAATGTGCATTCACCAATGTTTGTTTGCAGACTTAATCTTTTCATTATAGTTTTAACTTACTAGTTTCAGTGCACCAACATTGGATTCAGTATTGATGAATTGAGCTTCTACTCTTTGTCAGCTACTGTGCTAAGCACTTTAGATATAAATATCTCATGTAATCCTTTCAACCACTCAATTAGGTGTTATCCTCTTAGTATAAACAAGAAAGCAGGTTCCAAGTGGCTAGATTGGCCAGTCACTTAAGACTAAGTGGTGAAAGGGGAAGTGAGGGAAGGGATTCCTGTTCAGGTCTCCATTCAAAAAGTCCATGTCTAATCTTAACCATGATGCTATAACCATTTCCAACTAGACACTCTTGGGCCTAGAATTTACAAGGATCTTTATCCCAACATCTGGATTTTAGCTGACAACCTGTAACTGGAGTGCAAACATCAACATGGAAGCTGACATGAAGGACTGTTGCAGTGTGGAGAGCTGGAGGAAAGAGGTAGTGTTTAGGACAAGTTACTTCATGTGAGTTTTTCTCCAGTACCACTTGTAGGCAAAATTTCTTTTCAAAATAAGTAGCTCACCATTTAAACCCAATTGCTGTGGTCTCAAATGAGGGCAAAAGGTGTCATGGTGACAACTGTTCACTGTGTGTTTACTGAGAGATGAGTAACATAATAGCACTTTACAGATGGTCTCTCATTTATTTTATATTGAATTTATAAAATTCAACAGCACATTAGTTAAAATTATATAGGTTTAAGGTGTACAATTGTATAATACATCATCTATCTGTATACTGTTTGTGTGTTCACCATGCCTTTTTGGTCAGTTAATATTTGACAAAGGAGGCAAGAATATAAAATAGGTAAAGATAATTTATTAAATAAATGGTAGGAAAATTGGATAGGTACGTGCAAAAAACACACAAAAAACACGACCACTTTCTTACACCATACACAAGAATAAACTCAAAATGGATTAAAGACTTAAATATTATATTTGAAACCATAAACATAGGCAGTAAAATCTCGGACGTTGCTCATAACAACATTTTTTTTCTGATATATCTCCTCTGACAAGGAAAACAAACAAAAAACTAAACAAATGAGACTACATCAAACTAAAAAGTTTTTTCACAGCACGGGAAACCAACAAAATGAAAAGACAACCCACTGAATGGGAGAACATATTTGCCGATCTGATAAATGTAATCAAAATTTATAAAGAACTTATAAAACTCAACACCGAAAAAACAATCCAATTAAAAAATGGGCAAAGGACCTGAATAGACTTCTCCGAAGAGGATATACATATGGCAGATGGTCTCTCATTTAATCCTCACAATATCCCTAAGAGGTGCAGACTGTCCTAATCCCTGATTCAGAGGTTAAGGAATTGATCCCAAGTTCACACAACTCTAATTGGCACATCTAGGTCTTGAATCCAGAGCTGACTCCAAAGCCAATTCTCTATGCCTGGCTCTAAAATGTTCCCTGATGCTGGGTGAAAGGGTGAAGGGATTGAGAAGAACAAATCGGTAATTACAAAATAATCACAGAGACATAAAGTGCAGCGTAGGGAATATAGCCAATAATATTGTAATAACTATGTATGGGCCAGGTGGGTACTTGAATATTAGGAGGATCACTTTGTAAACTATATGTTTGTCCAACCACTATGCTGTACACATGAGACTAATACAAAATAATATTGAATGTAAATTGTAATTGAAAAATAAAATGTTACCTTATGCTGGAGCAACCCTCTTTGGAGGGCTCGGAGATGCGCAGGTCCCAGACCACTCTGCCTTCAGATGGGAACTACTGCCCTGTTTTTAGAGAGTCAAGGGAATAAGTTTACTCTTTAATAAATTTGTGAGCTCCAAAGGCACGGTTGATAGATCTAATGTTCCCAAAATGTTGCTGAGGAAGTCAGGACATATTAACAGGTTGTATTGTGGATTGCCCCGTGGAACTGAGAAAATAAAAATTCTGTATCTGCTCTGAAAGTGAGGTTGGAGAAGGAATTTGTACTGTAAAAGGAGAATTGAATCACCTCAGATCATCTGGGAGTTTCTAGTAGTCCCACAGGTCCTTTCTGTATGGTTCCAGGAAGGAGGGATAGCTTTGTGAAGAAAGACCAATCACATCCCAAAGAGGACTCAGCCTGAGCTTCAGCTACATCTGCTGTCAACCCAGCTTCACCCTTTACTCACTCAGGTTACAGTGGCTCCCCATCCGAGTTGCACAATAGGGCAGCTGGAAGCATTACCACCAGCTACGGGCTTACAGAGGAAATGAACTTTCCTCTGGGAATTTTCAAAGCTTTCCAAATAATCTGGTCCAATACTAGCAGACTTCTTATGTATGAGCTTCAGTAATAGGATCAAAACTATCTCCTGAATAAATAGAAAAACTTGTAACAGAAGCAGAAGACCCATCTAAAAGCAACTCTTAACCTTATTAGAAAGTAAGTTATTTATTCTGAAATCAGCCTTCTATTCCTAGTGATAGGGTCTACCCTGAAACAAAGGATGGTTTTAAAAGTATCGGGTTCTCTCTTGACTAATGTAATCACATTTCCTTGCCTGATGAACCTTTTTTTTTTTTAAGCATCCTTAATGTTCCTTGGATCTCATCCATAGATGACTATATTTTGACACTAGGAGTTAGTTAAGCAGCCACAGCAAAAAGGAATTTGGTCATCTTTCTGCAGATACATGGCACTATGTGTCCTAACCCCTCTAGATAGCACTGTGACAGGCCCTACTGTGGCCTCTTCCAGCATCCTGATGA